AAACTTTGAATATTACTAAAAGGCGTTTTTCACATTTTACACATGATTTGCCCACTGAGTGTTTGTGTTGGATCCAATGTACAACATTGCAGTAAGTAATACGCACTCGTATTTAAGGAAATATCCGGGCTCGTCCGGGATTTGAACCCGGGACCTCCCGCACCCAAAGCGGAAATCATATCCTAGACCAACGAGCCACGTGTTGTACCCACTGCGTATTTGTGTTGCATCCAATGTACAACATGCCACGGGTTCTATTCAATAAACACATTTTACACATGATTTGCCACTTACGTTTATTATCTAAGCCCAAATCATACCCCTAGACCATCGAGCCACGGGTTCTATCCACTGCGTGTTTGTGTTGCATCCAATGTACAACACATTGTAGTAAATAATATGTTCTCGATCCAATGTACATAATTGTAGTAAATGATATGTGTTCGAATTTAAAGAAATGTCCGGCCTCGTCCGGGATTTGAACCCGGGACCTACCGCACCCTAAGCTGAAATCACACCCCTAGACCAACGAGCCACGCGGTATGCTCAATAAACACATTTTACACATGATTTTCACATCTCAATAAACACATTTTACACATGATTTGCCCACTGCGTGTTTGTGTTGCATCCAATGTACAACATGCCACGGGTTCTATTCAATAAACACATTTCACACATGATTTGCCACTTACGTTTAATATCTAAGCCGAAATCATAACCCTAAATCAACAAGCCACGGGTTTTATCCAGTGCATGTTTGTGTTGGAACCAATGTACAACATTGTTGTAAATAATATGTTCTCGATCCAATATACAATAATGTAATAAATAATATGTGCTCGAATTTGAAGAAATGTTCGGGCTCGTGTAAACTACATATATGATGAATAATATAATCATCAACTACTATTGGGTATAAACAATATGCATTGAATATTCCAGAGTATAAATAATAACTACTTTACGGAGGCTTTTATCGCGCTGTTGATAATAGTAGGAGTAAATTATATATAGCACTAGCAAACCGGGCGAACTCCGTTTCACCACCAGATGGTTTCATTTTATGTAACATTTCGTGTGGTGATTAAAAGATTAAGAAAAACATTGCCTGCTGTTAAAATTGAATAAAAATTTGCACAATGTTAGGAAACGAATAACATATTTTTTACTTTTTTGTACAATTTCACAGTGAACACAATGCCGGTTTGTCGCATGAAATTAACTGAGCAGAGAACAATGAGTAGCTGTCAAACAAATGAGTAGCAGTCAAACAAAAAATATTAGTTTGTAGTAATGCTAAGTATCAGAGATGACGCTGTATGTAAAAAATTAGGTGTTTTCCGTTTTTCTGTTAAAAATTTTCTTCAATTTTCTTTGCTATAAACCTCACGGACTCCGAGACCTTTCCAACGAATAACAATCGTCGAAATCGGTTCGTGCGTTCTGGAGTTATATCGTCAGGAAGGAAAACCCGACTTATTTTTATATAATAGATAAACAATAATTATAATTATTGAACAATAATGAGTATGGATAATAATTATTGTGCGCTCCCGGGTGGGTTCAATCCACCAACCTTTCGGTTAAACTTTAAATATTACTAATAAAAAGGCGTTTATTCGTTATCCTAAAACATTGCTTATTGTAACATGGAACTTATATCTACACTAATCTGTAACCCATGTTGCATCCAATGTACAATATTGTAGTAAATAATATGTGCTCGAATTTAAAGAAAAGTCCGGGCTCGTCCGAAATTTGAACCCGGGACCTCCCGCACCCTAAGCGGAAATCATACTCCTAGACCAACGAGCCACGCGGTACACTCAATAAACACATTTTACATATGATTTGCCACTTACGTTTATTATCTAAGCCAAAATTATACCCCTAGACCAACGAGCCACGGGTTCTATCCAGTGCGTGATTGTGTTGGACCAAATGTACAATATTGTAGTAAATAATACGCACTCGTATTTAAAGAAATATCCGGGCTCGCTCGGAATTTGAGCCCGGGACCTCCCGCACTCAAAGCGGGAATCATACTCCTAGACCAACGCGCCACGGAGGTTCTTATCGCGCTTTTGATAATAGTAGGAGTAAATTATATATAGCATAACCAATAATTATAATTATTGAACAATAATGGGTATGAATAACAATTATTCTTATACCCAATAAACTACACTAATCTGTAACCCACGGCGCAACCAGTGCCCAATACCTGTCCATACATCGGGCCCGATTCTCTTCACACACAAACAGTTAAAATTTACTTCACTCCTATAAACTATACAAACTATACAAAGTCTACTTTCGGTTTGAGTGACAGCTTCTGAAACGCTGTACCCCCATGTAATAAATAATATGCGCTGGAATTGAAAGAAATGCCGGCGCTCGTCCAGGATTTGAACCCGGGACGACTGGTAACCCACGGCGCAACCAGTGCCCAATACCTGTCCATACATTGGGCCCGATTCACTTCACACACAAATAATTAACATTTACTTCACTCCTATAAACTATATACAAACTATACAAAGTCCACTTTCGGTTTGAGTGACAGCTTCTGAAACGCTGTACCCCCATGTAATAAATAATATGCGCTCGAATTGGAAGAAACGCTTGCGCTCGTCCAGGTTTTGAACCCGGGACCTCCCGCACCCAAAGCGGAAATCATATCCTAGACCCACGATCCACGGGTTGCACCCACTGCGTATTTGTGTTGCATCCAATGTACAACATGCCACGGGTTCTATTCAATAAACACATTTTACACATGATTTGCCACTTACGTTTAATATCTAAGCCAAAATCATAACCCTAGACCAACAAGCCACGGGTTTTATCCAGTGCATGTTTTTGTTGGAACCAATAAACAACATTGTTGTAAATAATATGTTCTCGATCCAATATACAATAATGTAATAATTATAATTATTGAACAATAATGGGTATAAATAACAATTATTCTTATACCCAATAAACTACACTAATCTGTAACCCACGGCGCAACCAGTGCCCAATACCTGTCCATACATCGGGCCCGATTCTCTTCACACACAAACAGTTAAAATTTACTTCACTCCTATAAACTATACAAACTATACAAAGTCTACTTTCGGTTTGAGTGACAGCTTCTGAAACGCTGTACCCCCATGTAATAAATAATATGCGCTGGAATTGAAAGAAATGCCGGCGCTCGTCCAGGATTTGAACCCGGGACGACTGGTAACCCACGACGCAACCAGTGCCCAATACCTGTCCATACATTGGGCCCGATTCACTTCACACACAAATAATTAACATTTACTTCACTCCTATAAACTATATACAACTATACAAAGTCCACTTTCGGTTTGAGTGACAGCTTCTGAAACGCTGTACCCCCATGTAATAAATAATATGCGCTCGAATTGGAAGAAACGCCCGCGCTCGTCCAGGTTTTGAACCCGGGACGTCCCGCACCCAAAGCGGAAATCATATCCTAGACCCACGATCCACGGGTTGCACCCACTGCGTATTTGTGTTGCATCCAATGTACAACATGCCACGGGTTCTATTCAATAAACACATTTTACACATGATTTGCCACTTACGTTTAATATCTAAGCCAAAATCATAACCCTAGACCAACAAGCCACGGGTTTTATCCAGTGCATGTTTGTGTTGGAACCAATAAACAACATTGTTGTAAATAATATGTTCTCGATCCAATATACAATAATGTAATAAGTAATATGTGCTCGAATTTAAAGAAATGTCCGCGCTCGTGTAAACTACATATATGATGAATAATATAATCATCAACTACTATTGGGTATAAACAATATGCATTGAATATTCCAGAGTATAAATAATAACTACTTTACGCCCCCGGGTGGGCTCGAACCATCAACCTTTCGGTTAACAGCCGAACGCGCTAGCCAATTGCGCCATGGAGGCTTTTATCGCGCTGTTGATAATAGTAGGAGTAAATTATATATAGCACTAGCAAACCGGGTGAACTCCGTTTCACCACCAGATGGTTTCATTTTATGTAATATTTCGTTTGGTGATTAAAAGATTAAGAAAAACATTGCCTGCTGTTGAAATTGAATAAAATTTGCACAATGTTAGGAAATGAATAACTTATTTTTTACTTTTTTGTACAATTTCACAGTGAACACAATGCCGGTTTGTCACATGAAATTAACTGAGCAGAGAACAATGAGTAGTTGTCAAACAAATGAGTAGCAGTCAAACAAAAAATATGAGTTTGTAGTAATGCTAAGTATCAGAGATGACGCTGCATGTAAAAAAAGAAAGTGTTTTCCACTTTTCTGTTAAAAATTTTCTTCAATTTTCTTTGCTATAAACCTCACGGAGTCCGAGACCTTTCCAACGAATGAAAATCGTCGAAATCGGTTCGTGCGTTCTGGAGTTATATCGTCAGGAAGGAAAACCCGACTTATTTTTATATAATAGATAAACAATAATTATAATTATTGAACAATAATGGGTATGAATAACAATTATTGTACGCCCCCGAGTGGGTTCAATCCACCAACCTTTCGGTTAAACTTTAAATATTACTAATGAAAAGGCGTTTGTTCGTTAATTAATTAACTAACCTATATTTACATTTAATAATCACTTATCCTAAAACATTGCTTATTCTAACATGGAACTTATATCTACACTAATCTGTAACCCATGTTGCATCCAATGTGCAATATTGTAGTAAATAATATGTTCTCGAATTTAAAGAAAAGTCCGGGCACGTCCGGGATTTGAACCCGGAACCTCCCGCACCCTTAGCGGAAATCATACTCCTAGACCAACGAGCCACGCGGTATACTCAATAAACACATTTTACATATGCTTTGCTACTTACGTTTATTATCTAAGCCAAAATCATACCCCTAGACCAACGGGCCACGGGTTCTATCCAGTGTGTTGGATACAATGTACAACATTGTAGTAAATAATAGGCACTTGAATTTAAAGAAACGTCAGGGCTCGTCGGGGATTTGAGCCCGGGACTCCCGCGCCCAAAGCGGGTATCATACCCCTAGACCAACGAGCCACGGGTTGTACCCACTGTGTATTTGTGTTGCATCCAATGTACAACATGCCACGGGTTCTACTCAATAAACACATTTCACACATGATTTTCCACTTACGTTTAATATCTAAGCCGAAATCATAACCCTAGACCAACAAGCCACGGGTTTTATCCAGTGCATGTTTGTGTTGGAACCAATGTACAATATTGTTGTAAATAATATGTTCTCGATCCAATATACAATACTGTAGTACATAATATGTGCTCGAATTTAAAGAAATGTCCGGGCTCGTGTAAACTACATATATGATCAATAATATAATCATCAAATACTATTGGGTATAAACAATATGCATTGAATATTCCAGAGTATAAATAATAACAACTTTACGCCCCCGGGTGGGCTCGAACCACCAACCTTTTGGTTAACAGCCGAACGCGCTAGCCAATTGCGCCACGGAGGCTCTTATCGCTTCTTGATATAAGTAGGAGTAAATTATATATAGCATAAACAATAATTATAATTATTGTTTGCTCCCCGGATGAGACGTCGATGGCGCATTCCAACTTGTCCGATCTGCGGTTTGCTCTCCTCCCGTAGGCTGACTTTTCCTCAATCCGGCATGTCATCTGCATAGGCGTCGACCCCCAGCGCCCTGAGCCACAATTCGGGTCACGATGTTCCAATAATGTAGTCGTACACGCGTTTCATTTTTTCTTGCACTGTCGAAATTATTTACTTCACAACAGTTTTTCACAGAAAGTAAGATCACATTAGTAGGTTTAACGTTTTTGTCCAAAAAGTGTTATAACCAACCAAAAAAACGCCACTTCACTTATCCACTGTCTATTAAAACTTCGACCTAGGCTTATTGCTTTTATTATTGCTTATATATAGCCTATATTCAAATACAATAGCAAAATCGATTATAATTAATTAAACCTATCAAATTTAGTGAACAAAAGATTTATCAAGTATTAAAATTAGCAGACATAATAAAAGTAAATAACATAAAAACACTCATAAAATGATCACAATTATTCATATAAAACTAAAAAACATAACACTATATCCTAATATTCTTATATCAACGGCTTTTTAATCGATTCTAACAATGGCAACATTAACAAAATGTAAAGACAATGACATTATAACTACAACAAATATACATTCAACATAAACTTGACTTGTGTAAAACATAAACGCATTTGTTTCTTAATCAACCTAAACCTATTCACTTACTTATTACCAACAATGTTTACTTAACAATGTAAAAACAGAAAACACACAACAAAAGAAAAGCATTGCTAGAGTAAGACTAAGAGCGAGAATTGAACACAAGTAATTAAAATACTCTACATATTATTTTAAAATTCGGGAATTGCTGACTGTTTTGAATTCGGCGGTCCCAACTCTATTAAACGCAAACATAAACCTGATTTTACTTTTATCTTAGTCTAACTATTCCTATCACTATTATATCGTGTACAGCAAGTGCGCTTCTCAATATAAAAACAAGAAGTGAGTCGTCGGAATGCTTGTTTCCCTGATGTTCCTAGGCTCCAAACGGTGCTAGATGTCCATAGCACCTTGCCTATCCAATAAAAGACCTGAAGCAGCATCGCGCCCGCTTATAATTTCAGAAGGAAATTACCATCAGCAATAAAAACCAAACAACACACAACGTCGCGCGACGCTTATTGATGGCGGAAGTTTTTGAGCAGGCATCGGGAGCGGATATCTGCTCAAAAACCTCACATTAGCGGCAGTACAATGTGGTAAAAAGTACCGGCTCTAGCGTGAAATCCACAAAACTTCACTAAAATATATATATCACTAGCTGACCCGGCAAACGTTGTTTTGCTAAGATAGGTATTTCTAAGCAACTTCTACAGAATAAAAAAAAGAATACTTTATTTTAAGAGTGTAAGGATGTATAGTTTGAATGGTACCGACAATGAGGTATTATAAACACAATAAACTTCAAAGTCTACTTGTATAATAATAAATTATATAATTCAAAATAACAATATTCGTTTGACCATATTTTGTTAATACAATCAAACTGGAAGTTTTATACACTTTCTATAAAAATATGGAACAATTCAATCCCAGTCTTTTTTAATCTTTAGCCGTGGTCAATGTTCAGTTGGTCATTTGTGCCCCACACAGATGTAAGTTTTTAAAGTGTTGAATCTCACTCAAAATTAACATTACATTTTATAAAACAATTAAATAGTTAAAATTTATATTAAGGCCTCGTGAACTAAATCACAGTGCTCACAACCCAAAAAACTAACAACAAAAGGAAATACTTTTGTTATGGATTTTCAAAGATTACCGTTTATCTCCTGATAGCAAAGTCATAAGAATCAAGGTTATAACTGGTTATACATCTTTTCCCCTCTACTTTCAAATATTGTTGTTGAACAATGCTAAACTTTACTGGTTTTTAAGATATTGGTGGTGAATCTTATTAACCCCATATCTTCATATATTACTATCCATTCTTCGATAAATTCATAGAAAATTTTTCCAGTTTATTCTTCAAAATTAGTGGAAAATAACCATTAGTGAATTATATTTTACATTGCATTATCCAATGATTGTTGAAGTTCTTCATCTTTTTCAATTTGTAGAGTGATTCAATAAAACATGAACGATACCTGACTATGTCTAAAATGCATAGATGGTTTATAATACAAAAAGGCGGAAGGGAGATGTTTGAATTCATCATATTTAATATGATGAATAATATAATCATCAAATACTATTGGGTATAAACAATGTGCATTGAATATTTCAGAGTATAACCAGTAACTACTTCACGCCCCCGGGTGGGCTCGAACCACCAACCTTTCGGTTAACAGCCGAACGCGCTAGCCAATTGCGCCACGGAGGCTCTTATGGCGCTGTTGATAATAGTAGGAGTAAATTATATATAGCATAAACAATAATTATAATTATTGAACAATAATGGGTATGAATAACAATTATTGTACGCCCCCGAGTGGGTTCAATCCACCAATCTTTCGGTTAAACTTTAAATATTACTAATGAAAAGGCGTTTGTTCGTTACTTAATTACCTAATCTATATTTACACAGAACGATTACTTATTCTAACACATTTCCTATTCTAAACATGCAACTTATTCTAGACTTAGCTTTAACCACGGCGCAACCAGTGTCCAACACCTATCCATACATCGGGCCCGATTCACATTATTCACTTAACCATCACATTTGCGTATTTTCACTAAGTCTACATTCTGTTTGAGGACACTCTCCGAATGCTGTCTCCCCATGACGTTCTCTAAGCTCACATTAAATACATTTTACTAACACCTTCGTGCGCCGGACCGCACGTTTGCCGACACTGAGGCCACGCCGGCAACTCTCATCCCCGACAACGACCACATCAAGCCTACGACTACTTCTAGACTGTTCACGCATACAACCATCCTCAGCCTGCGGACACATTCCTCATCAGAGACATGGCGTTTTTATGCATATAGGGAGAGGGGTAGTTGTGTGTTATTTTATAACTGTGTGTGGGTGCTACCCCACACATTCGTAACAATACGTGCTCGAATTTAAAGAAAAGTCCGGGCTCGTTCGGGATTTGAACTCGGAACCTCCGGCACCCTAAGCGGAAAACACACTCCTAGACCAACGAGCCACGCGGTATACTCAATAAACACATTTTACATATGATTTGCCACTTACGTTTATTATCTAAGCCAAAGTCATACCCCTAGACCAACGAGCCACGGGTTCTATCCAGTGCGTGTTTGTGTTGGGTCCAATGTACAACATTGTAGTAAATAATAGGCACTCGAATTTAAAGTAATGTCAGGGTTCGTCCGGGATTTGAACCCGGGACCTCCCGCACCCAAAGCGGGAATCATACCCCTAGACCAACGAGCCACGGGTTGTACCCACTGCGTATTTGTGTTGCATCCAATGTACAATATGCCACGGGTTCTACTCAATAAACAAATTTTACACATGATTTGCCACTTACGTTTAATATCTAAGCCGAAATCATAACCCTAGACCAACAAACCACGGGTTTTATCCAGTGCATGTTTGTGTTGGAACCAATGTACAACATTGTTTCCAACATCCAATATACAATACTGTAGTAAATAATATGTGCTCGAATTTAAAGAAATGTCCGGGCTCGTGTAAACTACATATATGATGAATAATATAATCATCAAATACTATTGGGTATAAACAATATGCATTGAATATTCCAGACTACTTTACGCCCCCGGGTGGGATCGAACCCTTAGACCAACGAGCCACGCGATATACTCAATAAACACATTTTACATATGATTCACCACTTACAATTATTATCTAAGCCAAAATCACACCCCTAGACCAACGAGCCACGGGTTCTATCCAGTGCGTGTTTGTGTTGCATCCAATGTACAACATTGTAGTACATAATATGTTCTCGATCCAATGTACATTATTGTAGTAAATAATATGTGCTCGAGTTTAAAGAAATGTCCGGGCTCGTCCAGGATTTGAACCCGGGACCTCCCCCACCCAAAGCGGGAATCATACCTCTAGACCAACAAACCACATGTTCTACCCAGTGCGTGTTTGTGTTGCATCTAATGTACAACATTGTAGTAAATAATATGTGCTCGAATTTAAAGAACCTCCCGCACCCTAAGCGGAAATCATACCCCTAAACCAACTTTTGGATTTGCCACTTACGTTTAATATCTAAGCCGAAATCATAACCCTAGACCAACAAGCCACGGGTTTCATCCAGTGCATGTTTGTATTGGAACCAATGTACAACATTATTGTAAATAATATGTTCTTGATCCAATATACAATACTGTAGTAAATAATATGTGCTCGAATTTAAGGAAATGTCCGTACTCGTGCAAATTATATATATATTAGTGATGTGCCAAGTCGAATCAAGTGATTCGAATCATTCGAATCAAGCCTTTAACGACTTGATTCGAATCAGATTTTACTTGATTCGAATCA